CAACAATATGCAAATGAAAGACACAGAAAATGGTCTGACCTGAAGCACCGAATGAGAGCCTATTTTCTCACATCTTCATGGCCCTCGTGAACATCAAATCTTGGCCCATTTGATACAGCGGCATCAAGTCCTAAAATCTACATCTCTCTGCTTATGTCTCACTTTTTTTCTTTTTTGGTTTTTCAAGACAGGGTTTCTCTTTGCAGCCCTGGTTGTCCTAGAACTCCGAGATCCCCCTGCCTCTGCCCCCTGAGTGCTGGGATTGAAGGTGTGTGCCACCACCACCCAGGCCTCTTTTCTATTTCTTGGCTGATAAGGGCAGTCTCCCTGTCACATTCACTTGGGAAAACAGAAAGCACTTTAGGTAGCCATCTCAGGAAAAGACGTTAACACAGGTGCTTCCAAAACAGTGGAAGGGCTGGAGGAAAGGAGGGTTGGGAATGCAGCCAGCAAGTGCAGGAAGTCAAAGGGTTGCAGGAACTACAGGAAACCTAGGTCATGACTTCTACTGCCGGTAGCCTGAGCAGGTGAGCGGCAGAATACTAAGGCTCCTGCGAACCCTCACGTATGCCATCTGCACACACACCAGCCTTGTTGCCTGTTTGGGGTCCAAGCAGAACACATGCCTTTTATTAGAATGTAGGTAAGACACTCAAGGCAAGTGAGTCACACAAGTTGAGTCCCCAAGACTGCCCCCTATAACAGCACTGGGAGGGGCTAAAACCAACCACCACCACCACCACACAGTCCATCATCTGTGTTCATTTGTGTTTACACACAATTCGGTGGACAGTGGAGCTTCTAAATAGCCCACTTGCACCTGAGGTGGTAAACCTGTCCTTGATGCAATGGGAAGCGGGGAAAGGTAGGGGCAAGAAGACCCATTCCTTTTTTTTTTTTTTTTTTTTTTTTTTTTGGTTTTACGAGACAGGGTTTCTCTGTATTGTTTTGGAGGCTGTCGGTCCAGCCCAGCCTCGAACTCACAGAGATCTGCCTGCCTCTGCCTCCCGAGTGCTGGGATTAAAGGTGTGCGCCACCACCGCCAGGCCAAGAAGACCCATTTCTTTCTCTGATATCCATTCTTCCTTCAAGGCAATAGTTTGCTACATTTTAAGTCTAAATGAAAACACCATAGCCTATGACTAAATTAAAAAGGAGAGGAAACACACACACACACACACACACACACTACTAGTTAATTTATAAAATATATACAGCACAAAGGAAAGAGAAAAACATGTGCCATTTTTAAAGTCATTGTGCCCAGAGAAACTCCTGAGGTAATGATTAGATGTCACCATGACCTCCTCACCTGCCCTACCACCACCACCACCCATGTCCCAGGGCTTGAAGCCCCAACACTGGTTACCAGGAAGTTTTAAGTGATGGCAGTCCAGCTCTTTCTTCCTGAAAGCCCCATGCCATCAGGATTCTGCCATTTGAAATAGCAGCTCTTTGGCCATACACACATGAAGGTAAGAGGTGCCCCAGAGAAACCCTCATGCTTGTGCACGTGTTATGCATACATGCCTGTGCTAGACATACAAGGCAGACATAGAGGCATCTTCAGGTATTATGGATATGGGAAAAATTCTTGGACTCCCATATTTTTCATGTTCCTTGGGCTTGTTGGTTTTCTGAACTTAGGGTCTTGTATATGCTAAGCAATAGCTCTACCTCTGGGCTATACCCTCAGTCCCACCATATTTAGTTTTCACTTATGTTGAGTGCACCTGTTCGTGTGTAGACCGTGTGCTCGCAGAGATGTCCATGGAGACCACTAAAGGGAGTCAGATCCCTAGAACTAGAGTTACAGATAGTTGTGAGCTGCCATGTTGGTGGTGGGAAATGACTTTGGTCCTCTTAATTGCTGAGCCGTATTTTCAACTCTTCCTTAACCCCACCATTTTTAAGCAACACATATAATATGAAGGCGGCAACTTCATTATCTAAAGGATTACTGAGAAAAGAAGTAAGACTTCTTCCAGAAGAAAATAAGAAAAAAGATGTTACAGCTAAATGAGAAGATGGCATAGAGTTGGGCCTCACTTGACATGGGAAGTGTCATCTGGAAGCGCTACTATTTTGTAAACAGTTTGCTTATAAACACAGATGATGCCAGTAGGTGCTACTATTTTATGGGACCCTGTACAAACATTTGTCCCTGATGAACACATTATGATGATAACTGAACTTCAAAATACATTTCTCTTGAAACGGAGACTCTGTGTACAGAGAAAAAAGTTTCTAATCTACAAATTGAAACCAGTGATTCTATTTAAAATGAGGGAAAAGGGAGACAGCAGGGAACATTTACTCAATGGGATTTGTATTGTCTTTTAAAAATTTTGAAGTGGGAGTGGTGGTATGCATGTATAATCCCAGTATTTAGGATGCTAAGGTAGGAGGATCATGAGACCAGCCTAGAGTATTAGCGTGCATAGGCCAGCCTGGGCAACTTTGCAAAATTTTATATGTATGAGAATGAAATATACATGTGTGTATTCATAAATATTCACATATATGCATATATACACATGAAAAGAATACTGACACTATTAACTAAAAATTTTTGAAAACGAAGCCGGGCGGTGGTGGCGCACACCTTTAATCCCAGCACTCGGGAGGCAGAGGCAGGCAGATCTCTGTGAGTTCGAGGCTGGGCTGGACCGACAGCCTCCAAAACAATACAGAGAAACCCTGTCTCGTAAAACCAAAAAAAATTTTTTTTGAAAACGTGTATGCATGTAGGTATGTATGTATGTATGAATATCAAAATTTACAATCAAAAAATGATGAAGGGCTGAGAGATAGCTCAGCTGCAAAGTACACGCTGTCCCACAGCAGCCATGAAAAAACTGAGAATAGTGATATATGTCTGATATGTGTCTGTAATCTTAAAACTGGAAAAGTGGCCGGGCGTTGGTGGCACACGCCTTTAATACCAGCACTCAGGAGCCAGAGGCAGGCGGATCTCTGTGAGTTCGAGGCCAGCCTGGTCTACAGAGTGAGTTTCAGGATAGCCTCCAAAACAATACAGAGAAACCCTGTCTCGAAAAAAAAAAAAAAAAAACCCAAAAAACAAAAAACTGGTAGGTTCCTGGGCTTGCTAGCCAAGTAGGCTAGCTGAATCAGCAAGCTTCCAGTTCAGTGACAGATTGTCTCAAAACATAAGGAGGAAGGAAAGAAGGCTCAAAAGATGGCTCAGCGCTGCTCTTCCAGAGGACCTGGGTTCAACTCCCAGCATATACATGGCAGCTGACAACCGTCTGTAACTCTAGTCCCAGGGGATCCAAAGTTCTCTTTCAGCCTACCTGTGCCTCACGTGTGCATGTGGTGCACACACATACATGAAGGCAAAACTTCCATACACATAAAACAAATAGTTTTTTTTTTTAAATAAAGTGAGCTGGATATGGGTGGAGCACACTTTTAATCCTAGTATTCAGGAGGCAGAGTTCAAGGCTGGCCTAGTCAACAAAGCAAGTTCCAGGACAGCCAGGGCTATACAAAGAAACCCTGTCTTGGGATAGGAGTTGAAGTGAAGAAACTGAAAAAGACACTCAACATTGACCTCTGGCCTCCACTTACACATGCAAATATGCACCTGCACACAAACACACACATGCAGATACCGCTCATTAACATTTTTCTTTTTGGCCATTATATATTCTTATTGGACTGAACACACCATAATGCTGTTCTTTGTTTGCAACAAAATAAAAATTAATTCTATTTTATCTGCTACCAGTAGCAAATCACGGATTCTCTTTTGGCTATCATTTGCATGGAGTATCTTTTCTGCCCCTTTACTTCAGTCTACTTGTCTTTGAGTCAAACATGAGTCTTTGTAGACAGCAAAGAGCTTAGAGCTTTCTGCCAATCTCTCACTTAAGTATCAATCTCTGAGGGTGACTAAATACCTGGGGTTCTCTGTGAAAACCACTCATTTAATAGACACAAGAAATGACAATTGAAAAGAAATAACCCACTTCCATTCCAAAATTATGTCACCAACTTGCCATGGGACCTTGACTCAGTTCTTTCTTCTACTTCTTCTAAATTTTTTTTTAAATTACATTTGTATCTATTTTGTTTGCAGGAGGGAGGGGATGTGCCATGGCCAATTTTTCTCTTTCCACCATGTGTGTTACAGGGATCAAATGAGGGTTGTGAGGTTTGGTGGCAAACACCTTTACCAACTGAGTCATCTCACTAGCTCCGAGAACCAATTCCTTTGGTAATAAATAGAAAACACACCACAACAGATGATGCTATTATGACACACAATTTAAACTGAGGCCTTCCCACCCGCTGCACCAACAAAGAGTGAATCAGGAGCAATGGCACTCGGTTACCTGCAGGAGGCGCTGCCAACTATACAAAGGCCTTTTCCCTGCTCCTCTGACAGCTTGGCTTTCTAGTGTTGGCCCTGTTACTCCTGGACAAATCAACTGGGGTATTAAGATAGTATTATATTTCCTTCCAGGAATTGGCTTAAGGATCAGGAACATCATCTAGTCTGAGTCAGAGCACTGTGAAGGATGTCTTTTTGAGAGCATATGGAACTTATTTTTAACCCTAGAGAACACAAGGAAGTCCGCTGCTGTTAAAGTATCCCCACCATGCCTGAGCACCTAGCAACCAACCACAAGGGAGTCAGCTGAGTGGTGAAAGGAGACCACAGAGAGCAGCAGGAAAGTCCCTGACTACATTTCAGGAGAACAACCGCTTGGAAGCCTCATTATCTCGGGACTTAAGAAAAAAATAAACCTCCTTATTATTAGCCTAATCTAGGTTTCCCATTTTACTAAGTATTTCTCAATGCTATCAAAACAACAGATTCTAATCACCAAGCCTGACAACCTGAGTGGTCTCCAGCACCCACACAGCGGAAGGAGAGAACCAACCTCTACAAGCTGTCCTCTGACTCTACACACATGCTGTGGCACAATAAATATGTAATGTTTTGTTTTCAAAAAATTATACCAATGAGCTTCTATATTTTAATATTTTATTCAAAATTTGTTTTAAATTTCTGTAAAACATTCTTCAAGCCATTATTTTAACATTATAAATTCAACTTGAAGTAGCTGAAAAAACAAACCAACAAAATAGGTAATGGGACTGAGTATAACTGAGCAGGGAAACCAAAGTCCCACCATCAATCACCAAGACAAGTCTAACTTCCAGGCATGTATACATTTTATTTTCCTTTCAGTAATAATTTTTGGAAAAATTACACTTTCAAAGAAACAGCCCTTACAAATAGATACTCTTTCCAAAAATAAAACCCAGTATCTAAATTCTGCAAGCTCACCAAACTGGTTGACAGTATGTGGTGAGCTCTGACTAACTGGGTAGGCAAACTCCAAACCTCTGGCTGCTAGTTACTACCAACGCTCCCTCCTCTGTGTTGGCAATTGTCTTATTGCTGAATTACATGTAATTCATTTTCTTTGGCAACATTATTGGCTAACACCAAGGGACAAAATTAAAGGTTTGGGTTGTCAACATTTTAACCATTGTAGCTGTTCTATGATTTCTAAGAGGTGCTAACTAGAAAAGCCCACCACACCTAACACCATGACAAAGGGCCTACCTGCTCACAACTATGGACAAGTTTATAATTACTCAGCATCACCAGTGAAAAACCATGTCAGCTCCAACTCCTCACATCTGTGATAAAGGGAAAAACTAAGTGGAGAAGTTAACATCTGAATATCTATCAATTTTTCTGGAAAGCTATTTTATATAAATTCAAACTGGCCTTAACTTGGCCAAAATTTTTACATGAATTCTCATTTTAATACCACCAAAACTTGTACTTAAAAAACACTGATAGCTTACATTTTTAAATTCTTTTTACATGTACTAAGCCTATTTTAAAGGCTTGCCATGATACTGCCAAGAACTTAAAACAGGAAGCTCACTTCTGAAGTTTCACTGCATTTTTTTTTCTCCATATACAGAATCACCCACTTAAGAGGCTTCCTTCCACTGAAAATATATCACTCCAAGTTCAAAGTGAATTAAAGTGGGTGTGGCAGAAAGTGCAACCGGAAGCATGTTCACATAACAATAAAGCAAACACTGGGAAAAAGCACATATGGAAACACAGTATGCAAATGCTCATGAACTAACGTTCCTGTGGACAAACTTATATACAGCTGTATACGACTTCAAACTAGTACAACTAGAAACATCTACAAAAGCCACAATAAAGTCAAAAGCACACTCAGAACAGTCTCACCAATTGGTCTCCCAGGAGTTCCTTAGAAAGTAGAGTGCAGTTGCTTAAGAAATGCTCTCTTCCTGATCAATCATCTCTGTTTTAACTGAAAACACATCTGCCAGCATGTGTTTGGGGATCTCTGAACCCCGGACTTTAAGGGTGTAACAAGCGTTTTCCACTTTGGCCAGACTTTGTTTCAAAGTGTACAGCTTCTTAGAAACCTCATAGGGCCCAGTGTTGCCAATGAATGAAAACCCATCATAAACCTGTCGTAAAAACTGGCTCACTTCAAAGGGGGTATCGATATCTCCATTCCCCACGCTGTTAATACACATCCGCATCAATTCTCCAGTTAAGTCGGCCACTCCCAGCAGGTAATCAACAGGTGTGATTTTCAGGCTCCAAGTAACAAGCTGCTTATCTTGTTCATCAGAAGAGGGCTGGTAAAAGACAAAAAAGAAAGCCACACACACAAAGAAAACACTGTGAGAAAGTGAATGCATCAGACATCACAACCATAAAGTATGAAATCAATAGCAAATCAGGCACACTGATCTTCTCTGTGTGTTAACTATATTACAGGGGCACAAGGAATCCAGCCATGCTCTGGGTAAGGAGCTAAGCAAGTGGTTTCGACGTATCAGAATAATCAAATACCACCAATGCAAAACCAACTGTGTTCAACTTCACTTGACAAGCACAGTAGACACATGCTAACAAGGCCGACTTGACGTCACTGCGTGACAATCACTATCAAAAAGCAATTAAGGTCCCCTCCTTCAGTCCTGCTTCCCTGACGTCTTCCCTACACTGCACTGCCCATCACGATCTGCGACTGTACCCAGCTCCTGCCAGTGCCTCCATCTCCTACTGCTCATGTCCAGCAAATCAGAATCTTGAAGCAGTGCTGAGACCTCCATGGCACCCTACACTAAGCTGAGTACAAGTGAGTTTAGAAACAGTAATCACATCTACAGACTGCAGAGTCTGAACTACTGCAAGTTACTCACCAATCCTTTTAGTTATTCTTCAGTAGTTTTCTTTATTAGTTTATGTGTATGGGTGTTTTGCCTTCATGCATGTCTGTGTACCAGGTTCATGCCTGGAGCCTTCAGAGGCCAGAAGAAGGCATCAGATCCCCCTGGAACTGGAGTTACAGATGGTTGTGAGCCTCCATGTGGGTGCTAGGAATTGAACCAAGTCCTCTGAAAACCCAGCCTGCTCAATCTTTCAAGGCCCTCAAACATAGCATGGTTCTTTTCTATATGCCTTAGCTGTGCAGCCCCTAAATAAACTATTCCAAGCCTTTGGTACTCTCTTCTGTTCCCTACGTGATCCCCAAACTCTTCAGTTTCAGTAAACAATCTAGCCTAACTTTGCAAACCCAGTTATCTGCCTCACACTGTCTCTTAATTATCTGTCTTACTACCGAAATATCCTTATCGATATTATTGCCACATCTATCTTCACCTTCTATCCTCCAGTCTCAAATGACACATTCTCTCTCCTCTAATGTAAACTTAACTTCCAAATGACCTTGACTCATCTCCCATCTCTTCCAGGACTTTGCTTCATAAGATACTTGTTGTCCCTTGGCAAGTTTTTTCATCTCTCTCTAAACTTCAAGTTTCTTCCTCTGTAAACAGGATTATGTTACCTATCTCAGCAGTCTTTTTTGGATTAAACATGACAATGTTTATTAAATTCTTGGCACAATGTGCAACCCAAGAAAACACTCTATAAGTGTTAGCTGCTATCATCATCACCACCATCATATATATCTCTCTCTGTGAGTTTCTTTCTAGAATTATACCTAAATTGTAACCGATGTATGTGGAATGAAGCTAGGTGAAGCTGTAAGTGCATTCTGGGTAGTGGGTCTACAAAGGTATACAGGAAAGAACGGTGCTGTGTTTGAGGAACTAATTAAGTATTCATTTTCAGTAAAGTTGAATAGTAGTACAGATTGAGACTAGAGACACAAACAGGCAGGACACCACACTGAGGAATTTGGACTTTACTTCCAGGTTGTGGAGTCTCTGAGAATTAAGGAAGAGGCAGAGTGAACTTTCTTTTTATTACTTTGATTGCTGTGCACATATCTTAATCCTGCTCAGACCCTTCAGAGAGACTTTGTTGCCCAATGGCCCATGACAGAATATGAGAAATAAGGCCTACTGCACAGCAGGGACAATGAAAGAACTGATTAGTAACAGAAAAAAAGCACCCAAAGTCTGCTTCTAGCCAATCTGACGCTTTTGAAAGCACATCAGAAACGTATCTGGGGATTCTGCAAACTAAGATTGCTATTTATTCATTTGTTTCTTTGTTTTAGGAAAACAGTAGGTTGTGGTAGATGGAAGAGGAGTACATTTCACATGCACTTGTTACACAGAAGGGGTTGTAGTTGTAAGTTGATTTTAGAGAAACAGACACTGCTAAGAAATAAAGTAAATTTTTTCAAAATAAATTCTGCTTCCTGAAAACTTTAGTAAAGGAAAAACTTGCTTACAGTACAACTTTTCAAGATGGACACTGAGTGTTTAAAAGGATAATGGCATCACTAATGCACTTTAAAACTATTTAGCCAGAACTGCCTGGACAAAGCAAATATAGCAAAATGTTACCTCCTAGTCATTTATTCAGGTCCTGCTGTATGAGCTGACAGATGGTTATCATTCCCTCTACTTTTTTTTTTTTTTTTTTTTTTTTGGTTTTTCGAGACAGGGTTTCTCTGTGTTGTTTTGGAGGCTATCCTGGAATTCGCTCAGTAGACCAGGCTGGCTTCGAACTCACAGAGATCCACCTGCCTCTGCCTCCTGAGTGCTGGGATTAAAGGCATGAGCCACCAATGCCCAGCTCCCTCTACTTTTATACATGTTTAAAATTTGTTACAGTAGTTGTTTTAATGACTTTGCCAATATCCTCACAAGCCAAGTTAAAACGAAAATTTCTTTCCTTATAAAACTCCCAGAATGTTCAGCACCAAGAATCTAGTGCTAAAGGGAAAGTTATTTGTGAACACAGGCTCAACTTCGGTGAGAAGTATATTCGGGTCATAATCTCAAAAGTCCTGAAAGAGCACACACGGTCAGCCTGCCTGCCTTTTCCCCCACTGTCTCTCTCCAGTTGAAGTAGAAAGAAGGCTGTGCTCATGAAGCAGGACTAACAGCTGGCCCCACCTCTTGCTGCCATTCTATCCTGACTAGGTGAATGAATCAAAGCCATGAAAGCCTCTTGCTTCTGAGTCAGAGCTCCCCCTTAACAAAGATAAGTATAAGCTCAAAAGCTGAAAAAACACAAGGATTCATAGAGTAAGGTTTTTTCTGTCATGCCAAGTCAGGCTTATTTTGCAATCTAACATTTTATTTTATATTTGAAAAATCTTGACTTCTAACAATTTGTCTACCTATCCTGAGTCTTAAGTGGTATTTTTAAAAATTAATAAGAGGGAAAAAAGGAATGGAAAAATACTGTTTATCTTAATGTATCTGAAAGAAGACATCAAAAGGCCCATTTGGTTGCCTGAATGTTGTATGTTTAAATCCAAAAGGGGAAAGAAGTATTCTTTTAAAGTCAAATTGCAAAAGCTTTTCTTTCCTGAATTCAGAAGAGCTAGGTAATGTCTATACATATATGGTAGTTTAAGTAAGTGGTAAATGGCTCTTACAATGTGACAACTACTTTATAACAATGAACTACTGTTCAGTTTGAACACTGCTTAGTTAAAAAGCCTTTGTTAAGTTAAACTCTTTCAAAATCCCTTTGACGTAGGTGCACACACACCAGGGGTTCCTGTATATACCCCTCACAGAGGACTTCAAGAGCACAGCCTGGATTCTAGACAGTCTGCTGCATACATGTGCTGAGTTTCTTAGTCCCTGAAGTCATGTCACTCTTGTTCTGTTACCAGTGGGACACTTAAGACAGCGCTTCCCTGGTAAGACTCAGCAAACCAGGCTTCAGGAAGCCAGTGGTTTCCACAATCAATATGCTATTGTATAAATGTATAAATTATATAATAAAAGTGAAACATGATTTTAAATTCTCACAGTCTTGCTTTCTTTGCCACTGTCTTCTGTTGTAAATGTCAACTGCTTGTTAATCTCTTCCACACTGATTAATGAACGAGTTTTGATGAAGTGTTGAAAAGAAACAGCCTCCACATATTCCTGCAGTCCTGAAAAACCAACAAATAAGGTTATTAGGAACAGCAGTAAATTACAAGTGTGCCACCATAAAAAACATCACCTAGCCTGATAAAAGTGTGCTGGATACCTACGCAGACTGTATCAGCTGGGGCAAGGCATATAAGCACTCCTGGGCCTCTATACCAAGGCTCAAGGATGTCACCAAACCTTGTCTATAGCAGGTAGGACGTGATTTAGGGCACATGTTCTGATCACTAATGTGTGCCTTGCACATAACAGGCATAAAATAATTAAATGAGTACATTTAAGGCTTGTTCTATCTCACAAAGAGAGTTCAAGGACACCTGGCCCCAGACACTGAGAAGCACTCTGGGTCATATGTAGGTAAAAGGATGTTTAAACAAGTTATGTTTCAACTTGATGAAAAGGACATCCGTTATTTTCAGTGTATAATCCCCAAGGTGAAAATTTTCAGCCCATTGGCATTCTCCAAACAATGCCTTCCCCTGTGCTTCTACCTTGGAAGAAATCCAAAAGGAATTATTTACAGAATCTGCTTCCAGTAAGAGAGAACATTGGAGGTTGCTTTTATGTAATTTGTTCTTTTTTTACTTCATTCCCTATTAGAACATACACAGGGAAACCCAATTAAAAGCTTCTGATTACTTTTATTTATTCTCATTGTACTTAAACCATACACATGCAATTCAACACCAAACCTAGCCTGGGGGTGAACATGTGAGAGAGCTCAACCTGCTTTGCAAGATTCTAATGCTTTTCTTAGAAAATTGTTTACCAACTGGGCATTGGTGGTGCATGCCTTTAATCCCAGCACTCGGGAGGCAGAGGCAGGCAGATCTCTGTGAGTTCGAAGACAGCCTGGTCTACAGAGCGAGTTCCAGGACAGCCTCCAAAACAATACAGAGAAACCCTGTCTCAAAAAAAAAAAAAAGAAAAGAAAATTGTTTACCACAGGTATAAGCCCCAGAGGAATAGGGTTATGTTCATACTAAGACTTATAGGTAGATGTGAATAGCAGCAACCCTTACAAGAGCCAAAAGGAGAAAAACTCCAGATGTGCATCAACTGACAGACAAAACGTGGTCTATCTGTTCATGATTATACTAAAGCAGGAAAGTACTGTTGTAGGCTAACCCACAGATGAACCCTGAAACCATTGTGCTACATAACCATTATCCAGTCCTATTTGTGTGAGATATGCAGAAGAGACAGTAAATTAGCGGTTGCTACAAGGATTGGGTCAAAACAAGCTATATTGCTAGTAGCTGCTCTTTGTTCTTTAAGGCAGAGATTGAGTACATGTTCAAAACTGAGTAAGAAGTATCATCCTTATCAACACAGTGTTACAGAGTCCACACTAAATTGTCAACTTTCTGAAACAGTATTTCAGAAAAGCAAAGGAATGTTTAGAAATGAAAGAGAAACTGAACTAAAATACTATTCTTTTTTTTTTTTTTTTTTTTTTTGGTTTTTCTTCGAAACAGGGTTTCTCTGTAGTTTTTGAAGACTGTCTTGGAACTGTCTTTGAAGACTGTCTTGGAACTGTCTTTGAAGACCAGGCTGGCCTCTGCCTCCCGAGTGCTGGGATTAAAGGTGTGTGCCACCCCCCCCCAGCTTTTTTGGAGGGGAGATTCTTCTATCTAAGGTTTGTAGTCATTACCACCAAGTTTGTAGTATAGAACACAAACTTACTACATTGTTATTAAATGGTCCCTACAGTATTTACTGAATCATCTCCCACTTAAACGCAATTTTAAATTGTAGCTATTTCACACCCAGGTTGAGGCTGACTTCAAGGAGTATTAACTTCCTGTACTGGGTTTTATCTGATACTAAAGTCAGTAGGTTAAACTGAGTCTGGAAAGAAAGAGACCAAAGATGTCAAAACGACCAATGATGACCTTCATTAAAACTCCTGTGAAGCCTCAGTTTACTTCCTCTTAAGTGGTAGAAATAATTTAGGGGACCATAAAAGCAAAAGCTGTGTCTATCATGAAGAATGACTCTATGTATCTCTAGCATGCCCAGCAGCAAGGCTCAGACAGAAGAATGGACATCTTGAGCCCAGTTCATGGCCAGACAGGCAGTGAAGACATTATATGTTTTTTTGTTTGTTTGTGTGTTTTGTTTTGTTTGTTTTTCCAAGACAAGGTTTTTCTGTGTAGCCTTGGCTGGCCTGGAACTCACTCTGTACACCAGGCTGGCCTGGAACTCACAGAGATGCACCTGCCTTTACCTCTGGAATGCTGGGAGTAAAGGCACATGACACCATTGCCCATCAACATTGTCTGTTTTAAAACCAAAAATCTCTAACTGACCACAAACACTCATCTAACCCATCATTCACACTCTTGGATAAAATAATTAAAACATCAGAGAGCTAAAATATTTTATTTTACACATGTAAACATCTCAAACCACAGTAAGACTAAACTAAAGCAATTAAAAAAAGAGCACGTTCCTTTAAGACGCAGGGCATTCCCTGACCAGTTAATTTCTCAACAACAAGAAGTCATAAAAGTTTTTAAGTTGTTTATTTCAAGCAACTAGTTGCACATTTCATTGTTCGATCCTTCCTTTGGACAGTTCAGTCTACTCACACCCAAGGTGTATTGTTGAACCATGAGGCTACTGTCTTCTGACATCGCCCCCGCAGGGAAACATTCTGTCTGCCATCAGCACTACGCTTAATAATCACAGAAATCTGTTAGTTCAATGCCAGAGCTATTTTAGCTTCAAGTCAAAAGAATGGCCTTTTGGAGTAACACCAAAACAAGTACTCACCAATTAAAGCAGCAGGCTATTCATAAGCATCATATTGTTAACACTATAAATGCATTTATTTTCCTAAGCAACTTTTTAAATCACAGATAAGAGTTTGACTGCTTCATCCTGAACTTAAGAATAAACATCACTGCTTCTTCAGTTCAAAACTTCATTTTAAAGTCAGGAAGGTAATGCATGCTAATTATGCCAACATTTGGGAGGTAGAGGCAGAAGAATTAAGAATTCAAAGCCAACTCAGCTATCTAGGGACTCTGAGGCCAGACTAAGCTACGAGACTGTCAAAACTTCATTTTAAAGACTTCATGCGGAACCAGCGGGATGGCTCAGTAGGTAAGAGCACACGCCACCATGAGCCTGATGACCTGAGTTCAATCACTGAGACACACATGGTGGAAGGAAGAGAGCCAATTTCCACAAGTTGTTTTCTTACCTCCACACACAGGCCACGACGTGCGTGCACACACACACACACACACACACACACACACACACACGCATGCACGCACACATGCACGCAAGTGCGTTTCTTTAAGTTAGGAATACCACCTCATGGAGTGTTAATGAAAACTGACATAATTCACACACAGCACTCTTTATTAACTTTTAGACTTACCTGTAGTGACAGCTCGATGGAACTGGTGCATATCTTCTCCAGAGAGCTCTTGGGCTACCTGTAATATTTTCTGTCTGACACCATCCAGTTTAATTTCTGATTCAGTCAGTATCTCCTCCATATCAGGAGCACTATAAAGACATTAGTAACCTTGAAAACATCAGCCTTGTAATCAAAACTATAAGAAAAACCTTATTCATAAAAATCAGCCTCTGTAGCTGGCTGCTTCCACCTAAAACAACTCAAAAAACAAAAACAAAAACATAGACCATGCAAAACAATGGTTTCAGACACTGTACTCAGACAGCATGAACACTGGACAGGACAACAATCAGGGAAGTGAAGACACACCCAATGTCCATCTCAAGGCTTGAAAGAGTTTCCAAGTGATGATGTAGGAAGGAAAAATCTAGGTAAAGCCAAGGTCAGCTTGAGTTGAAAAGCTGAAAATTAAAGGAGGTCAAGAGAGCTAAATGTGCAGGGCAGAGAGCAAGGAGAAAGCTGCAAAGCGGATAGGACTTTAGAGCTGTGCACTATACAAGGAACTTCCTCAAGTCTCTAAGTCCAGGTCACTGCAGGCAAGTACTAAAACTGTGGCCTGGTACACAAGGCCGCAACAGGCAGGCAGAACAATTCCCATAGCCTAAACGCAGCCAAAAAAAGCTAACATCAGCAGCACAACACTACGGACATATTAAAGGAAGTTCTGCAGGCAAAAGGAAAATTATTCCAAATGGAAATCTGAATCCCTGTGCCAAGGAATAAATGACATTAGAAATGGTAATTGCAGGGATAAATATACAATCTGTTCCTTGTTTCCTAAAGCACACTGCTTAAAGTAAAAACAATGTGTCCTGGGGATATAATATAGAAGTAACAGGAACTACCACAATGGCACAGAAAGCTAGACTAGTCAGGAAAGAAAGACTAACACATATAAGCTGCTCACCCTGAGCAGCCCTTACTTTCCAGTGCACTGCAGTAGCTGATGAAGTTCCTCAATTCACCAAGATTAACTGGCATAAAGCATCTGTGAGTCTGGTATCCAAATTTCAACTAGCCCAGTACTATCTGAGAAAGATGATCCAGACTGTTGAGACACTGTCCACCATCAAGCAACTATGCATGCATACACATAGAAAGAGGAGAGAGGAGAGAGAGACACAGAGAGAGAGAGAGAGAGAGAGAGAGAGAGAGAGAGAGAGAGAGAGAGAGAGAGAGAGAGAGAGAGAAGCAAAACTCCAGAGCCAGGGAGATGATTCAGGAGGTAAAGTAGTTGCTATTGAAGCATGAGTTCAGATCCTCCACACCCTAATAAGGCCCAACCTATGGATAGAGGAGACAAACAGATGGCTGGAGCTCACTGGCTAGTCCCGGCAAAGCAGCAAGCTTTAGGTTCATTGAAAGACCCTATCTCAAAAAACTTTTTTTAGAGAACATAAGAAGATACCAGAAGTCAATACCTGCCCTCCACATGCACTCCCAAACACATACGTACACACACATACAAAACACATATACTCTCAATTCAAAATAAGGCAGAAGCCAGTATGGTGGCACACACAGTTCTATCAAAAAGGAGGCAAAGCCAAAAGAACCCTGAGTTCATCCTGGACTACAGAGACTCTGACCCAAAAGACAAAAAAGCTGGAAAGAAGTCTCAGATGTTAAAGGCTATCTTCACAACCAAAAGGACAAAAGACCAAAATAATAATAATAATAATAAAAACAAAAAGCAAGAGAGCCAATACCTATCCATATCATCAAATATAACAATCTATTTAATAAGCATCTCCACTAATTGACATAAATTGCTAAAATTGATTTTTAAAATGCAAAAAAAAAAAAACCAAGAAATCCATTTATTTTTTTCATTTTTGGTTTTTCAAGACAGGGTTTCTTTGTAGCTTTGGAGGCTGTCCTAGAACTAGCTCTTGTAGACCAGGCTGGCCTCGAACTCAACAGAGATCCACCTGCCCCTGCCTCCCGAGTGCTGGGATTAAAGGCCTGGCAAGAAATCCAATTTAAAAGTAGATATAATTTTGTTTTGATTTTTACAGAAAACTGGTGTGGTGATATATGTCTCTAATGACAGCACTTAGGAGGTGGATAAAGATCATGAGACCCTGTCTCCAATTAAATAAGTAAATATCAATGGAAATAATAGCCAGAAATGAAATGGTAGTTAAATAAGTTAAGATAGCAGCAGTGAGCTGGGCAGTGGTGGCACACACCTTTAATCTAACACTCAGGAGGCAGAAGCAAGCAGATTTCTGAGTTCAAGGCCAGCCTGGTCTACAGAGTAATTCCAGGACCACCAGGGCTACACAGTGAAACCCTGTCTTGAAAAACCAAAATAATAATATAATAGGAAGATATCAGTAGTGAGGTACTTGCCCAGTATGTGCAAGGTCCTGGGCTCAATCCCCATGCCACCAAAAATCAAAACATTTTAAGTTAGTGGAATGGAATGCTTAAAAATATTTTGAATAGTAAAAACCCAATGAATTGCATCTGTTCTTCCCTAAACAGATATATCCACCCCTGTAGAGGTCCCCAGAATTCACCCTGGAGAGCTAGAGCTGGCCACACCAGCTAAAGCAGACAGACACTTCTGCCACACCGGGACAGAGAAGCCATGAAGCTCATCCAGCAAAAAGGAAGCAGAGGACAAAGAGCAGAAGATGAAAGCTACTCTGCTGTGCTCCTAAGACATTCCTGAATCTTCAGATCGCTCTAATGCACTGCCTGCTCTGCTCAGGCCTCCCTTTCCCTTCCAGTCCAGACACCGGAGAACCTCCCTAGGAAAACAAGAGAGTCAGCCTGGAGAAAGAAAACACAATGCAAACAATGCCACAGGGCTCAGAGAAACTATCAAAGAACTAAGCAGCCAACAGTACTGTATGCTGTCAAAATACAAAACCAGATGCACTAGATTTTACAATAAGAAGGTAACGAAAACCAGAAACAGACAAGACTGCAATGAGTTGAAAACTGAGTAAGAAATTAACCATATTTTCCCATCTAATATTAAATTTTTACATCAACTGAGACTTCAACATAACAGGCTCCAGAAGATAATCCAAAATTTAGTATACTTTCCTCAGACTACCCTTACATGCACAGTAGGTGTTAGTATATGTAAATGAATGATCCAAAGGGAGTATGAAATCCTTAGGTGGGCTAAAAGTAAGAATTTTCCCTCCTGTTTTTAAAATGTTGTTTTTGGGGGCTGGAGATATAGCTCAGCAATTAAGAATGCACACTACTTTCACAGAGGACTAGAGTTCACTTCCTAGTACCCATGTAGAGTGACTCACAACTCCAGGGATCTGATACCCTGTGGAAAAAGCCACAGACATAGCAAACTCATTTAAAAGCAAAACTAAAATATTTTTAAAATTATTTTGTTTATGGATGTTTTACCAACATGTATGGCTATGTACCATTTGTGTGCCCAGTGACCATGGAGACCAGAAGGGGGCATCAGATGCCCTACCTAGAACTAGAGCTGCAGGTGGTTGTGAGCCACGGTATAGGTGCTGGGAACTGAGCAGTCAGTGCTCTTAACCACTGAGATATAGCTCCAGCCCCAAATATTAATTTTTAAAATATAGATGCTTGTATTACATGATACTGTTTAAAACCCAAAATACATTCTAGCATCTGTTATTATCCGTTAAGATAAAATATATAAATGTGGTTTATCAGAAAACAAATTTTAATTTTTTAATTATATTTATTTATATGTGTATCTGTGTGTGTGTATACACTCATGTTCCATGGTGTGTTTTGTGTGTGTGTGTGTGTGTGTGTGTGTGTGTGTGTGTGTGGGTCAGAAGCCAACTAAGGTAATCCTACTTGGTGACAAACACCTTCATTCACTAAGCCATCTTACCAGCCCTTCAAATAACAAATTCCAAAGATGTTTACCCACCTTGTAATCCTATGAAGAAGAAAAATTGTCCTTTTACTTTCAACAGTTATATCCCGACTTAGTTTCACAAGTCTCTCATATCTGTCATGCCTCGCATCCAACTCCTGTTGAAATGCTAGAACACATTATAACAACCATAAGCATGCATATTCTTTACTCAAAGCTAGACAAAATACAGAAAGAACACATGCCACAACATGGATGTAGCCAAAGCTGTAGTCATCTGCCTTCATGGGAGACTCAACAAGCAAAACCCAGTAGTCATGACAGTAATTCTCAAAATAAAGAAGCTGAGCCCTGCCCTCTATCCCACGATGCACAGAAACACAGAATTCAGAATCTCTGGAGTCTTTTAGAGAAATCTGTAAACTAGTTTAAAGTGACACTAGTATAGAAAATGGATACAACAAACCACCTTATCATCTTCAAAGTAACACTACCAGTGTTGAGCCTCCTAACATTAACAACAGCACTATGGGGCTAGGGATATAGTTCAGCTGGCAGGGCTCTTGCCCGGCATGCACTAGCTCTGGGTTAAACAATCCCCAGAAGATGTACTCAGAGGATCACTGATCTCTCTGTGTTCTTCCCAATGTGACAACATTGAGTAATAAATAATCCTTTTCTGCTTTTCCCTATATAAAAAAGGGCATGGCGGCATAGGCCTGCACAATACTCAACATTCAGGAGGTGGGAGCTGAAGGATCAGGAGTTCAGGGCCATTCTCAAGAGACCAGTCTGGGCTAATTAGACCCTATCTCAATAATGATGATGACGATATCTGGATTTTTGTCTGATATTATAAGGGCCATCAACCTGGTGTTATAAATGCAAAGTTAGATGAAACATTGTTCCTAGCATCAAAGAGACATAGGTATAGGTAACAAGTAATTAAGTAAAATATAAAAATGTAATTATGATATAATAAATACACAGGGTTTAGAAAAAAATATCTCATGAGGGGGATGGATGGAAATTGAATGAATGCAGTGTTCATCACCATGGTACTACGTGAGCTGGGTCCGGAAGCGAACATGCTCCATTGGAATGGTAATGAAAGCACTAAGTTAGAAACAAATCCAAGCTCAGAGAACTATGAGTCCATAAAAGAAACAGGGAAACAGCAAATTCACTGGAAATACACAGCTTGTTTTCATTCAGTATCCAGTCATATCAATATATCCTCTGCTCAACTATACCTGGTTTCCTACACTTAGGAAGATCACTGTAAGTATTGTGTGCTTTTAAAATTGTCCACAAATTAGCTGACACCCTTCTCTTTACAAAGTGCAACCTATTTCCTTCCTCCTAAATAAGAAGCAGTTTTTAATTCGCCTTGCTTTTAATAAACGCAATATGTCAAATACTATCTGTATCCCCAAGTCCTTGACTTTTATGTCCCATGTAGATGTTAACACTAGTAAACACGTAAACAGTTTACATAAATGTTACTTTATATGGAATTATGCCACATTCTTAACAACTGTCCTGTATGTAGCATAATCTTCTCATGTACCATTTACTAGCATATATATTTATATTTAGTGTGTTAGGTCGGTTAATTAGACTGGCACACAAGATTTATTTTGAGATAGCATTTTGCACAGAATAGGAACGATTAGTAAATCTTGTATCACATGTACACAGGTATTTACAATCCCCTTTCTTAGTTTATTAACTTAGTCAAGTTGATCCTAATATCTGAACCTACAGATTTTCAGGGCAGACCTAGCAACGACACAAACCATTACAAAAAACTAAGCTTTACATCTGCATGGCATATACATACACATACATAAACTTTGAGACAAGGTCTCACTTCGTAGCCTTGACTAGTCTGGATGTCCTAAATTGTTGAGTGCTGCTTCTTGGCGCACATTACGGCCACACGATCGTTATGGCTCTAATTCTCCTTATGGAAACTTACATTTGAAGGCCAACATCACCGGCGAAGACGAACTGACATCTTTCCCTTCCCTCCTCTGGTTATGTGGGAAGTTGTCATGCTTCCTCTTCCTGAACCCTCCTGGTCCTTATGTAGAAAAGAAGATGAGCTAGATGGATAGCGCCCTTCCATCCTCCCGCTTGCACAGCCCAGGTTACCCCCTTCCTCCCCCCGGCACCCGTAGAGCCTGCCTCCCGGGCCAACTCCCCAACCACATGGGAGTCCCTAAACACGACCCGGACATGCACTGGCCCGGGGGTGGGATAAAAGCGCGACTCCGAGACTCAAGGAATAGGGCTGCCCCCGAGGTCGGTCTGCAGAGCTACACCCGGGGGCAGGCCTGCAGCGCGGTGACAGCAGAGCACGACGCACAAGGCCCAGCCCCTCCCCTCCCCTCCCCTCCACGCCCCGCACCTTCTTTGCCGCTCATGACCGCGGGGCCTTCGCTCGCAAACGTAGGGGCCGCAGCCACCTGGTCAGCTCAGCTAACGAACAGGTCGTCGCCGGACTCCAAGGAGCGTTTAAAAAAGCCCGTGGATTAGCAGCGCTGAGAGTCCTCGTCGCTGTAGTCCGCCGCCGGAAGCAGAGCTCCGCCACGGAGCTACCTTAGCTGCGGAGTCCCCTCGGTCACGCACACTTCCGGCCCGTGCCTCCGGAGCGGCGGCGGGGACGCTCCTACAATAGCATACATTTCCGGCCCCACTATCCGCGCTCTCCCTCGGCCGTACAAACTTCCGGTCTGTGTCCATGCTTCTCACACACACACACACACACACACACACACACGCACGCACGCACGCACGCACGCACGCACGCGCACACGCGTGTACTCAGCACGCACCATCAGCCGGTGTGTCAGGCCTTGATCGCAGTCAGTTGAGTGACCACTGGCGCTGTGTAGGCTGGGCGCGGGCCGAGGCTGCAGTTTGGCAACCAGGAGCGCCTGGGGGTGGGGGTGGGGAGTCTCAGATGAGGCTAAGGTGGGCCTCACCTCAGACCCCTGACTAACTTCCTGCATACACGCACGTACTCAGCGTGTGACGAGTACGTGGATACCTGGAGGTGTTGGCCTTTGCCTAAGTTTACCCCTCCGTCAAATGAGGGTGGTGATCATAATGAGGCTCGAAGTGAAATATCTTTGAAATAGGTAGAAAGTTTGCTCCCGTTGTTAAGTTCTGAGGCTGTTTTTTGAGCAGATGCTATGGCATCTGGCTAGACTTTGTGCCCATCTGCCCCCGATTCCTTAACACTGACTGATACCTTGAGACCTCCAGCAGCCCTGATACCTGTAGTCCCAGTCTTTCCTCCTTGTTAACTTAGGAACCAAGGGACAGTTAAGATCTGACATAGAATCAGGCAGTGACTTCCAAGGCCATAACAGGAGCATTACAGGAGGGTTTTCTGCCTTCAGAGGCATCCAAAGTGTCTTCCAAGTCAAAAGCAGGCTGTAAGTTGTCACCTTCGAGTCTGCAAAAGCTAGATGGATTGGACAAGTTCCTTGTGAATGGAGGACGTCAGTTGATCAATGTTGGAACAATGATGTGGGGCTGGAGAGGTAGCTCAGGAGGTGGAATGCTTGCCATGAAAGTATTTCATTCCTGAGTGGTACCCACTAATAACAGCAAGAAGATGGGGACACACAGGTCCTTGGGCTTGCTGACTAGACAGTCTAGCATACTTGGAAAGTTCTCAGCCGGTGAGAGACCCTGTCTTTAAAAACTAAAAGGTGGATAACACCTGAGGAACACCATTTGAGATTACTCTCATACTAACTAACACACACCTATACTGTGGGGAAGGGAGGAGATGGCCAGGTGAGTAAAGCCTTACTACACCCACATGAATGCCAGATGATGCGGCATCCTGGCTGTAATTGCAGGGAAAGCAGAGAGGAGATCCCCAGGGAAGACTAGCTCATGAGACACTGTCTCCGCATACGAAGGGGACAGTGATCACAGAAGATATCCCGTGATTCCTCTGGCTTGCACATACAACACACACACACACAAGTATGTATGGCACACACATGGAAGCAAAAGAATAAAAATGTGACCCAACCATGCTTTAAAAAAGAGAGAGACGACTCTGATATCAATATCATAGCCTAACTTCCTCCAGGATTTAAGGAAAGCAGTAGCTGTGAGTCTTACAGTGCGTACTAATTTACCATACTCTGGGAGGTGTATACTTTCTAGCTCCCAAGACTTCACCTTCTCAACGCCTGAATCATCCTTTGCCTTCTCCGCAGCCACTCCCTGGTTCAGCTGTAGCCCTGCTACCTGAGCATTTTTTCCCCATTCCTTTTCGTAGAGCCAGAGTTTCATCACCTGAAGTGACTTCTCAAAGTTTTTAATGGAGGTAAATCCCCTGAGCATTTTCCCAGCACTTATTTGCATATGTACTTAACCCCAGGCCTCCCCAGTGTCCCAGGTAGCTACACCTTTGTCAGGAAACATCTTTCAGCATCTGTGGTACCCTGCCAGGAGAATCCTTCCCAGAATCCTGTCCCTGTCTGCTTGTTTTATTGTTTCAGTCACAAACACATAGTGTTGGTACACAGTAAAACAGTTGTTTGTTTTTAAAGAATCATTACTACCCCAAGTCATGGGAAGGAGGAGGAGTTCGTAATAATGTCTTAAGTCTGGAATGTCACCATCCCTCCCTCTGTTGTTGTAATTGCTCCTGTTTGACTGACTGAACCCAAAGCCTTTCAGGGTCACCTGCTGTTATTCTGTATAAATCCTCACCTGGTCACCTTTATAGGGAAACTGTCACATATCAACTAGTTTTCAACTAGGGGAAATCATGAAACAGGAGCTCAAGAGCTGCCCCCCTCCCAGCATCTCTTTTACATAATTACATAAACTAGGGATAGGCTGGTGGTAAATTACCAGTCTTGAGTGATAGTTTTGGGTTGGGTTTCGGGAGCTTGGAGAGTTGGAGTTTTTGCTCAGTTTCACAGGTTAGTAACGAGGTGGAGGGTTGAGTAAATTGAGATGGAGGAGCTAGCCCAGGCTGGCCTCAAACTAGCTTTATAGATGAGGATAACCAGGAACTAGTCCTTTTGTCTTTACCTCCTAAAAGCCAGGATTACAGAAGTGTGTTGTGTCAGCACAAGCAGCTTGCTTTTTTGCTTTTGCTTTTGTTTTGTTTTGTTTTTTAGATAGGGTCTTGATATGTAGCCTGAGCTGGTCCAAAACTTGCTGTGTAACATCAGGCTGTACTCAAATAATCCTGTTACCTCAGCCTCCTGTAATGCCTAAATTACAGATGTTGACCAGTGGGCCTGACTTTGTGCATCCTGCTTAGTTACTTACTTATTTCTTTCATTCCTGCAAAAGCATTCTACCACTGAGCCACATCCCTGACCTCTGAACCATAACATTTGAAAGATACTGACGGGATCCGAAGTATACTTTAGGCATGCACATACCAACTCACAAACTTAATTTTCTTTTTTTTGGTTTTTCGAGACAGGGTTTCTCTGTGGCTTTGGAGGCTGTCCTGGAACTCACTTTGTAGACCAGGCTGGCCTCGAACTCACAGAGATCCGCCTGCCTCTGCCTCCCAAGTGCTGGGATTAAAGGTGTGCGCCACCAACGCCCTGCACAAACTTAATTTTCAAGCAATGCTAAGATGTGAATGGAAGTGATGGGGTTTTTTGTTTTGATAATCTAAGAGAAGGAAGCCAAGTTAAGATGGGGGGGGAGGATTAGCAAGGAAATAATCACTTCCCTGTGTGCTAGGATACCTATAGTCAAGAACAGAAAACCTCAGACAGTGAGGAGAAAGAAAAGTTGCATGAACTATTTATTATCTGGCAGTTAAAAGACGTACCATTCATGCGGTGACATGAAAATGAGCTAATTGGAAGAAGCCAGTCAAAAATGAACCAAATATAACTCCATTAAACAAACCTACTATGGGTTACTTAGAGCTCAAAGACATGGAAGAAAGAAAAATGATAGCCAAAAGTATGGGCTTTTGGAGGGGGGGTGATAAAATGTTATGAAATTGACCATGGTGATGACACAAATCTATGAATATACTACCATTTCTCCAGTTGGTCACTGTGAATTGTATTGTTTATCAATTGTATTTTAATAAATATTATTGGGTGTCAGTTAGGAGGCCTAGGTAATCTATGGGGTCTTGGGTAGTATTTATCCCTGGTGTACAAATAGACTTTGAGTGCTCATCCCACAATGAGGGATGCTATCTCAGCCTGGACTCTTGGGGGAGGGCCTAAGCCCTGCCCTGGATGAAATGACAGACACTGGAGATCACCATGGAGGACCTCACCCTCCCTGGGGATCCGAGTGGAGATTGGTTGGAGGACTGGAGGGCCTGGTGAGGAGGGCAGGGGAGGAGGGAAGGGAAAGGGAGTTGGGATTGATGTGTAAAACAAGCTTGTTTCTAGCTTAAATAAAAAATAGAAAAAATAAATATTATTTATTAAAGAGTGAATCAGGCATGGTGACACATCCCAGCACTTGGAAGGCTGAGACAAAAGGATCATTGCAAGTTGAAGACCAGCCTGGACTACAGAGTAAAACCTAGTCTTTAAAAAACTTTTTAAAGTGACAGAAAGCATTCATTTTTAAAGGTATTTTTCTCCCCCAAGCCCAAAAGCATTCATTTGAAATCTTACACATATATATGTAGACTGAAGCATGACACAGCATGCCATACATTTCCCTCTACCTCACCAGCAAGTTCTTACTTAGTTCTTTAAAGTTCCTCCAGAAGCCCCTCTCCTGTTGATCCCATTCTTGTGGTTTTCAATGCCATCTGTATGTAACAATTACCCACTTTACATCTTCAGTCTAGGATATATGGAGGTCACACTACCTACTCGGTATCTTTCCTTGAGTATCTAATGTATTTCTCAAAACTAGCATGTCTAAAATTACAAGTTTCCCTCAACCTACTTCTTCAGCCGCATTCCCTATTCTAACAGTCTCTCTCTCTCTCTCTCTCTCTCTCTCTCTCTCTCTCTCTCTCTCTCTCTCTCTCTCTCTCTCTCTCTCTCACACACACACACACACACACACACACACACACACCATCTTACTTTCTCTTTGAATGCCCTAGTTGATCAATACAGAATTGTGCCCTCCAGCCACGTTGCAGCTATAACCTACAGGGTGAGCATGTTTGGATGAAGGACATTTGTGAGATAATGAAGACTAGGTGAGGTCACAAAGATGAGATCTGAATCCAGTATGCTTGGTGTCCTCGTGGAAAAAGAGAAAGGGCCAGTGGGATGGTTCAGAGGGTAAAGATACTTGCCACTAAGCCTGATGACCTGACCTCAATTTCCAGGACCCACATAGTGGAAAGCAAGAACTGACATCAGAAAGTTGTCCTTTGACCTCCACAAGTGCATGTGCACACACGCAAATAGATGATAGATAAATAAATGTAATAAAAATAAATAATCCGGGCATGGTGGCACACACCTTTAATACAGTTAAATTTCAAACACGGGACAAATGGCTGAAGTGTCTATTTAATATATCACATCAGACCTGTCTGCCAGGTTCTGCCAGTATCCCTCAATCCCTCCTAAAACACATGTCTCTGAATATCAGGCTCTCTACCCTGAACTCTCCAGCCCAGGGACTGGGCTGCCCTTCCCCCAGAGGCTTTTCCCTATATAATCCAGACATTTTGGTTACTAGTTTGTCTTTGTACCTTTGGCCTC